GTATAACAGCTTGGTCATCAGCTGCTAAATCTCACATACAGTCGTTAGACAAGAGCGCAAAATCAAGCCCTTAGACGCACCACAAGGTTCATGAAAACTGGCAACAATCCTGGCGGTGCAGAAAATAGCTGCAACTCAAATTCTGTCCAATAGAAGAGACACTAAAACTATGATCCAGAAGGAGAGGTTTAATAATATGCAGTCACACCCAATGAATGCAAGATGAGATAATCAGGCATTAGGGCGTCTCATAGCAGCTTTGTCCATCGGGGGAAAAGACTTAGATCTTCCAATGAGAAAAACACCGCTGAAACCTACCCTATACCCTGTACCTTGGGAGCAGGTCAACGACACAAAACAGATAATGACTTCAGTCAGTGGACTCACAGCTAGAGATGAGTCCAACGACCTTCAGAAGCGAACAGCTGCTCTCAGCGTGATCCGGGAAAGCTATCCCGAATAGTCGTGGACACATGCTTACACAGATGAACCAGCAACCAGTGAGGTTAAAAATGGGAGTGCTGACATCTTTATCACATACCCAAACAACCACCCGACATACAAAGTATATACCCACTGGTAAATTCGGTTCCAACTACACAGCGCTAGCACTAGAGCAGGCTGCCGAAATGTTACACAACACCACCTCGGACTGCTACCAAGTGAACATCTTTACAGATGCGGTAGCGGGGCTTCAAGCCCTTCAGGGTGGTAAACTTCCTCACCTGAGATCTGAACTTAGCAAGATGGCTGCCAAAAAGTCTTCTGTACTCTAGCGGGTGCCATCCCACTGTGGTATATCAGGAAACGAAATCACGGATAAACTTGCTAAGCAAGGGCAGAATATTAACAGGAAGAGAATGCAGTAACATATTATGGGCTAAAAGGCCCTCCAGTTTATCAGAAGTGAACAGAGTCTGGCGAGAGAAGTCTACCGCTTATTTGACCGTTATGGGCAGGGTATTATTCTGCGCCTCAGGACCGGACATAACAAACTTAACAAGCATATGCAAACGGCCCATGTAGGCTACATAGCGTGTGTAGACTACAGAACATGTCCTGCAAGAATGGTTCGTGTACAGCCCAGCAAGAACTGAATACTGGCTCAGCGAGTCAACAGTGCACTGAAAATGTTATGGAACCGGGAACTCCTAACAACAGTCAAGTTTATCGCAAGAACGTGTCTGTCCCTGTAAATGATCAAGCGAACACAAGAAGGAGGAGAAGAAAAAGAAGAAGAAGAAGAAGAAGGATCTCAGCCTTGAAATTAAAGCTTGTAATCTGTTTATTTATTATTGCTTGACTTATAATGGTTGAACTTTCTCGGGGTCACTCTGCTTCTTGATTATATGGCAAGAATACAGAGCTGACATAAGACTGCTGTTTGTAACGTACTGCAAAACCTACAGGTACCGAACCGGCACATCATGATGATGATTGTAAAATAAATATAAATCTTTATTTAGAATCGTTAAATCAGAAGTCTGCATTAGTAAATGGGTTTAACATTCATTGCAAACGTTTTACTACAGCACTCTGTATGCTCGGCTGCCGCTCTTTCTTGTCCTTATACTGTTAAAAAGGCAATAAAACTTTAGCCCAACTATTACATTCGTCTTAACCAATGCATGTCAATAAATATGTTTTCTTGCTACTCTTGTAAAGTACGTTGTAAATACGATAAGGAATCCACGCCACTCCTCTGTTTTGTCCACCTACTTACTGGTAGTTGCTTAGAATGGCCCCGTTCGACCGATATTCTATAAGTAACACAAATATGCGTTTCACTTTTTATCAGCAGCACCGTCTCTGAACAGGAAGTAGTTAATCTCCTTTTTCTTTTTCTTCTTCGTCTTTTCGTTTACTTCTTCTTCTGCTGCTTTTTTTCTTATTCTTCTTCTGCTTGTTACGTTTTACTGTTTATGCGGGAGACCCAAGTTCGAATCCTCTGTAAGGTAGGGGATTTTTTTTTTTTATGTCGAGGGCAAACATACAATCTTAACCTGCTCCAAAGCATCTGTAAAGATAATCAGATCACCTGGGAGTGAATTGTCGTGAATCAAGTGTTGGACTTCATCCTCAGTAGCACACGTTGGCCACTATCTGCACTCACGACCCAATGTGATCATAACCCTACACAGGTCAGACTTGTCCTCTGATACTCTGACCCACTCCTCTCCTCGTACAGTATTCTCCAGCATGCATACTAGTCTTATTGTGTTCTGCTTTAGCCATCCATGATTTTTCCCCTTTTCGGCCTCTGACCCTTACCTGCAGCCAAAGAGTCTTCTTTGTCTGTAGCTACTCTGTGGTATGGCTTAGCCTGCAGCACCTTTAGTCTATTTACAATAGTCGGCAATGCAAGGATGTATCGCATGCACACAATCGGCGTGTCTCATGTACAACCCAGGATCACCCGCATAGCTTCATTCTGTATGCGCTCCAGTTTCTCTAGCTGTCTCTTCGAGACAGTGAGTAACCCCAATAATAATTACTGAGATGATTAAGTACTGATAAAGTGTGAACAGCATTTTCTGCTCGATGTCCATTGCTGCCATAATCGTTAGTGCATTAAGACATTTTTAAGCACTTGTCACCACCCCCTCTATGTGATGCTTGAAAGACTTACTTCTGTCAAAGGTGATTCCCATGTATCGCAGTCTGCTGTCTATTTTAATGTCCCTGCCATTTATTTTGAGGTTTGGAACATCAGCTCTAACAATCCTGTTGTCCAAATAACACCACAGGACGGTTGCCTTTTCTGGGTTAATTATAGCACTCATCTCTGAACACCAGTCGGTGTACTACCGCAGAGTTCCTTTTATTATGCCACCCATAGCAGTCTGATTGTATGTCCAGCTTGCCATTTCTGTGGGTGCTAAGTCTTGACCAGAACCCCATGGCTACTCCCGCTGCACCATTCTCTTCAGACTATCATGATTTATTTCTGCTTGCGCACTGTTCACTCGCCCCCCAAATAGCCTTGGCCACACATAGCTTGTCGTGCGTCACTCTACTGCCAATTAGTGCAGAACCAGTTTGTCTGTTTTTTTTTTATTTTATTTCCCAACACACCTAAATGTCATCAAGAAAATATCCAGGAGAAGACGCAATCTGCTTGGGATCTTTAAAGCAATGCTTGCAACTCTGAACCAAACATACCTGTCTTCCCTTGTCACAACATGTGTTGTGAGATTTCAGGGGGAATGTTTCAATGACAAAATGTGTGCGCACCAAAGGTCGGCCATTTGTTTAAAGTTTCTTGAATGACAACGACTAGGAGAGGGAGCTAACACAAGGATGGGGGGGGGGGGGGGGGGGACAAATAGCGTTGATTTTCTTAGCAATCGTTGTTTCTACAGTTTGCTTTGCTCCACACATCTTTTCTGTGACGTTTGGGGAGGGGGAGGGGGGCTGGAAGCATTGGTTATGTAGTGGCTAGACGCCTGACTGCAACCCCAAGCTCGAGGGTTCGAGTCCCTATCGAGTCGGGTTTTTCTCAATAATGACCAACTCTGCCAGTTCGACTCAGCCTACAATGGGTACCCGATACATTTCTGGGAATTAAAGACTACCGCTGTGATGTAGGTCACAAAGCCAACGAAGTGCCGTTTGGTCTATACAAAAATGAATCTAGCATCAAGTGCCGACACGTCACTGGCGTGAGAAAGGTCGGTCCGTTCCATTTTTTCAAAAACTTTAGCAACCTCAAGTACAGTTAGAGGAAATGGGGGGGGGGGGGGGGGGGGGGGGGGGGGGGGTTGGCAGGATGCCCAGACGAGTTCATGGGGCGAGGGGTGGGGGGGGGTGGGGGTGTAGCATCCGAATACAAGCAGCTCAGTGCTCCTATTTAAAAATATCGCTGACAAAATAGAGACAGACATTTAAAAATGGACAGAAGAGCACCAGATTTCACATGTCTTGACTATTGTATGACCTGGGTAAAAAGAAATATACATATCAGAGTTAACTAACCATTTGTTATTTTTTTTTTCAGAAGGATTTCCACGGGGGCGCTGCATGTCTTTCATTATAAGTATAATTATTAAATAAGGGGAGCCGTCGTACAAAATGTTTAGGAATTTATGGGCTAAAAGAATTAGTTGCGACAGCAAAACGGCTAACATTGTATGCAAGAGTAACTCCACACTCGGCCTCCCATATATATATGGGTTCGGGTCATGACGGAGATAGTTGTGACACATAAAGTCGACTCCATGTGGGACCCAATTTTTTTTTTTCTTTTGAAGCCCCATCCCGATTTTTGCCGGGGGCCTCAATATAGCCTGAAGACTGAACGCGGTTTCTTATACCTCTCCACGGGTGATCCTCATCCGCATGCTGGCACTTTGTGTCAGAGGGTGTTTATAGCTCTATGTAATGTCCTGGTAGGGTCAAATTTACTTACTTACTTACAGAGCTAGACTTTTTCATCAATTACCTTGCCTCTTAAGTTGACCCAGCCTTGAGTAGGTACGAGGTATAGAAACGGGAAGTACAGGCGGCTGGCGTGATGTTCACCGGACCATCCACCGAGTGCTCATAGGTCTACCCCTGTATACAAAATACGCGCCTGACTCGCTAGCGCAGTGGGTTTAAAAAACTCTTGCGCTGCGACCGGGGGGACGAACTCCTTATGGTCCGGGTTCACGCCCGTGGGTAGGCAGAAAGGTCACATTTTTTCACAGATTTAGAGTATCTATCATGGAATTAAGACCGAAGGGTTGCGATATCCATAGTATCGAGCCTAAGGGTTTACAACTCATAGTTTCTGGATACTTAAAAAAATCCGTAAAAAGTTCCTTCACTTATATATATGTATAGTATTGTTAGTATCGGACTATATAAACAGAACTCCGCTGTTACCAAACATTGCCCAGCTATTTCCCACTGGCTCAGGCGTTGACATCCATAGGTAGAAACGTGTTGTATTTATTGTTAAAATCGCAACAAACATTCATTGTTTAGATTACATTGCGCCTGCTGTTGTCTATCTTCAGTTGTCATGGTAGCAGCAGTATCAGCAGACTACAGCTCAGGCCTGACACTAGAGAAAAATGAATGTCAGTTCGGTCTACAAAATTGCACCGCCAAGTATGACAAACTGGAGATGAGCGAGTAAGTACTTTTTGTTATTGTTTATTTCTTGATGTTTAAAAAAAATAATTTGCGAGGTGAGAATCTATAGGCACATTCATCTTCTTCTTCCTCCTCTTCTTCTTCTTCCTCCTCTTCTTCTTCTTCTTCTTCTTCTTCTTCTTCTTCTTCTTCTTCTTCTTCTTCTTCTTCTTCTTCTTCTTCTTCTTCTTCTTCTTTTTTCTTCTTCTTCATCTTCTTCTTGAAACAATCCTCAACTTCTGGCAGAAGTGAACCTAGACTTCCTTTTCTGGCTCCTAGGCCCCATTATGGTGGGGAAAAAGAAAAGTCCCTTGACTCCCGACAGACGACTAATTAGGGGTAATTTCTTTAAAAGTCAGAGTACATCTGCCAGGGAGGTAAGGAACCGACAATCTGTACACTAATAAGTCAGATCTGTAAAATGGATGTGCAGACAAACTGCAAGTTCTGGAACAAGACCAAAGTCAAGAAACTGACCACCATAATTTTCGCAGGAATTAACAACCATGAACGTAAAGAAGATGGAAGAAGAAAAAGAGGACGAAGAAGAAAGAGGAGGAGGAGATAAAGGAAAGAAGAAGAAGAAAAAAGACGACGGAAGATAAAGAAGGAGAATCCAGAGTCCCTGTGTTTCTTGGGGCCTGATTTTTTTACGGAAAAAGAAGAGACAGCACTGCTCCATAACAAGCATTTTGTAAACAGTGACTAGTTGGGGATTTAGTGAAATCAGAGTTATGAGAGCGAAAGGGTTAATCTAGCAACCTGGCTGTCTTCTTCTTCTTCTTTCACCGGCTGTGAATTCCGGCGGAAAGTCCCGGTTAATCGTTCCTTTGAACTTTTGGCTTTTACCCGGACCTGAGTTTTGCGAGAACAAATGTTTTACTGATTTTTGCCGTTCCCTACCTCACGGACAGATGTACTCCGACTTCGAGGGAAAATCTGGCTGTGAAACACAACACAATGTGCCGACCACACTGGTGCTAATACAGTATACAGAAGACGAAGAAGAAGAACTACCTCGACAGTTGAGTTTAACCAAGCACTATATGATGGAGCCTCTCTTATGGAAGTGTTCATGTAAAACACGAAATGTTGCTTTATAGAGTAAGATCTGCAATAAAATTGTATAATAATATGGTATTTGTAAATAGCTGCTGGAATACAGGTCTAAAACTAGTCACATAGTTCATCAAAGAGCAACTTGTGTTGTGGTTAAGCCATCTGATGCAATTGCATTAATACCAACTGCCATATTAAAAAAATATAATAAACGCAAAGCTGGTGACGACCTGCAAAGGATGGAATAACTAATCAGTTTATAACTTATGGGGAGTCCCCGTGGCGGAGCGGCTAGACGCTCGTCCCGGATCGAAAGGTCGTCGGTTCGCTCCCTGGAGGAGCCGGATTTTTTTTTAAATGACCTTGGCTCCCAGGTCGACCTAGCCTTGAGAGGGTACCGGGTGTGGTCCCAGGAAGTAGAGGCGGCCGGCGTGATGCTGACCACATCACACATCTTGTGCCGATTGGTCTATAAAAATATAGGTCTAGCCCTATACGCCTAAAGGCGTGGAAAAGGGTCCTTTACTTAATTTTAAAAAAAGGGAGGGGGGGGGGGTTGGGTTGTAGGTGATTGAACTGGAGGAAGAAAGAGAAGAAGAAGAAGCACAGGTTTACCTTAAAAGTTGGGTGCTATGTGTGCAGATTGCTCTCCCATCAAACAGAACGGACCACAAGTTGTACTTCTTGAAAAACCACTTCGCTGTAATCGGAAACCCTCTGTAGTCGCCATCGTTCCTGGTCATGTTGTGTTTACCTGCCACTGACAGATGCATTTCTAACTGTTTAAACATGCCAGCTGCTCTTTGGTTGGAACAGGCCTATCCTCATTCCCAAACCCAGTTAACATTTAGTGTTTGTTTACCTGGGAATGCTGCAATTGGGCGTGGGATCTAGGGAAACTCGAAAATAACATAGTAGTCGGCAACAGACTACTGTCTTCTTATAAAGCATTTATAGGTCACCTTTTTTCATTGATCATGTTGTTGCTTTCTTATATTTTTTTCATTTTTCTTCTTTCTTTCTTTTTCTAATGTAAACACTTCACTTCCTTCATCTGTGCTAGCCGGATTTAGAATTAATAAGTAGCAAAGCCAGGGCTATTCAAGTTTACCCAGGGGCCAACATTTTGACAACAGGGATCTGATTAACGAGTTTAAACTGTCGCCCCCATGTGGGATGCATTTTTTTTTCTGTTTTTTTTTTAAGCCCCATCCTAGCTTTTGTGGGCCGTAAATATGGCCTCACAGCTGAAAGGGGTTTCTGGGACCTCTCCATGGGTGATCCTCATCCGCATGGTGGCACTTTGTATCACCTGGTGTTTATCGCTTGTGTGATGTCCTGGTGGGGTACAACTTACTTACCTACCTTCAACGGGGATGGTCACGGGCGAGAGACCCCAGCCTCAGCGTAGAAAGCTCAGTAATACAGTACAGACAGTGATTAGTGGACCTCTCGCTAGGCCTCTGAGGGTTAGATTTGGCTCGTGGGACGCCAGTTAAGTAGCCCTGCAATATGCTATTAAAAACCCTGACGCCTCGACCGTTCTAATCTCAGAAAACTTTGAAACATGTTCGCCTTTTCAATATATGGATAATGGAAATATAATGCCGTTTAATGATTATTAAAAGATATAACAAAGAATGAGTTTGCAAAATTACTGAAATGATATATACTTACTTACTTACTTAGTCGCCCCTCTTCTACCTTGGGGTGTAGAGGTTTGCCAGAGAGATCTCCAGACGTTTATATCAGCAGTTTTATTTTTGGCTTTGTTCCATTCCAGAACTCTGTCAAGGAAATGATATATAATCATATAGTTAGTTAGTTAAGTCAAGAATTGACATCACAGCACTCAGGGCATTCCCATGCGTGCTCAGTCCTAATCTTCAGCAACCAGCGCAGAGTTCCAATACTGATGGTACCGGTCACAATCTGGTTATAAGTCCGTCTCGCCTTTCCTCTAAGTGTACCGCGTCGGCCAGATGCTCTGACTACATTCAGGTGCCTCATTCTCTCGAGGCCATAATAATCTTGTTTCTCTACTGATTCCGTTACTTGTTCCCAAAGGGCCTTGACAACATCTGCCCTGTCATGCATCAGTTCACCACCGGGTGGTGCAGATCCAGCCAGTCTGTCTGCCTGTTCATTACTCACCACGCCAGCATGACCAGGAGAACAGATTCAAAGTATGCCAACTACCCGTGATCTTTCCAGTAAAGCTTGCCACTCTGCTCAAAGCATCCCTGTCTTCACCTTTCTCAGCATACTTTCAGAGTCATATAAATCATATAAATCATATAAATCATATAAATCATATAAAAGGCTCTTAGTTGCAACAAAAACATCTTTTTTTTACTTGATTTCCCAGACTGTCAGATTGCATTTGTGAAACAAAATATATTAAGTTAACTGCAGATTGCGAGGCTTTGAGTTGTAGCTTATTTAGCCTATACGTAAATCCAGTACTGTATCTGTGTTTATTTATTGTGATAGTCAGATTTGTCTAACACACTACTGTTTAGTACTCCTAGTATGCTTCTGTTTAGTAAAACACCAAGCAAGACATGACGTTCTTGTTCTCTTTTGTAGGGCAGAGCTGAAGGTTTACTACGATTGTGTCTCGAGAGTAAAGTGTATCAGAAATCATAGGGGTTTTCAAGATCGACTGGTACTTTTATCTAGCATCCGTGACAGGCTTGTTGCAGGTAGGTTCCTACTTGGATATTCTTCTTTGTTGCTGCTCTCATCTTTACTATTTCAGGTGGAATACAAGCAGTCAGTGCTGCCTTCCGCTGGCTTGAGAATCAGCTGTTGTACGTGTCATAATTGTAACTGTCTCACAGAGCATGTTGAGATAGGTAGAGACAGGCATGCTCTGTCAAGAGTGGAAAACATCGCTTCAGAGGTCCTGGGTAGTTAGCATCCTTTGGATATTTTCCTCCAGGTCAGGCTAGTGTGTTATAAAAAGGGCTGACCGATGATAGACCGGTGAACTGATGTATACAAAGCTAGATGTTGTGAGGGCCCTTTGAAACTAAGTGAATAGTGCGGAGACACAAACAGATCATTATGGTCTGAGAAGAATGGCGTTGCAAGGAGTTATCAGGGGATCAGGACAATGCTTAACACTCGAAGGAAAGGCGAGATGGATATACAATGAGACAGTTACTGGTGCCATTGGTATTGGAACTCTTGGCTTGCTGCTGACAATGTAGAAGAGTGTCCCAAGTTCTCTGATGTCGATTCTTAATTCTAAATTCAACATTCAAGTGGCATTCTTTTTTAAGATCTTATCATGTGATTGCAATTTTTTTTTCTTTAGATTTTGATATGATGGAATGTTTGTTGCTGTTGTCAGGGTATTTCTTTTTTAAATTGTGTGTAATAATTACCAGACTGAAGTGATCATTCTAAACATGGATTATGAGACTGTATTGTTTGCTTTCTATTGAGTTATGTCCCACACTTTCTTCCGCTCCCTCACTCCTGCTTTTGCTAGGCTGCTAGTTCAAATGTTTGATATGTTTTCAAAAATCTCATTACCCATGACAAACCAACAATGGAAATTCCCAGATATGATGAAACATTTCTAGTTTCCATTGAAGCTGTAATTGAACATCATTATTTATACACCAGTGTCATGTTTCCCACATTCCTGTGTGTTTAAGGAAGGATGGCTCATGTCTCATGCTGCAGTCCTGAATTAGTGCCAAAAAATACCAGTCTACTTAAAATAGAGGTCCTTAAAAAAATTTACAAAAAAAAAACCCTGGGCTGGCAGGTCAGCCTAGTCTAAAATGGGTCCCAGGACATGTTATGTGAAATAGAGAGGCCAGTGTGATATCGATCCCATTATCCATTGAATAGGCCTATCCAGTGGTCTATATTTAATATAAAGCTAGAACCATTCAGTTATTATCAAATAGCAAATCCTTTTGCAAGATAATGGTCTTGGCATTCATGCCTGACAGTCTCTCTTTCTCTAGCCAACTCTCTAGCCCTATCTACGTTCACAGCCAATGCATGTTTAGTGTCTTCTATTCACCTTCGCAGAGGTCTGCATTGGCACTGTTCTCCATAGATTGTACCTTCCATCTACCTAAAACATATAAAGGGCTGTGAAATTACGTTTTTCTATCAATTTTTTTTTTGTAGGGGGGATGGGGGGATGGCTGGTGAGCGGCTACGAACTAAGGTCTCTCATTCAGGAGCCTCAGGTTTGAATCCTTAGAGACGATGGAGAAGCAGAAATTAAAATCCTAACCTGCATATTTCGAACAAAAAAAATGAACTGTCCAAAAATAAGTTTATGTATCTTTTACAGCTGCATCAAATCTCGTTATCTCACCCTGTATGTAATATGAAGCTGTCTTACCTTACAGAAAACCCTGACAGTGGCAATTGGTGGGGAAACAGTGCATGCAAGCTAGACAGACAGCTACTGATGTCAGTCATTGCTCTAACAACAGTTATGATATTCTGCCATATAATTAATTGATCAACACACTGTGTCCATATTGTGTTGAGTATTTCATAGCCATTACAAAATACAGTTGGGCTGCAATCTACATTTTAGATTAATCTGACAATTCCATACACAGCTCAGTGATGTTTCAGTATATTTGTTTGTTCAGGTTATTTTTGAAATTGAAGTGTCCTTTTTGAGATACTTCCAGTTAGCATTTCTATTTTTCTTTTTTTGTTTCCTCACAAATTATTCCATTTTCTAAATTTTCTGTGCAATATTTGAGTCATATATTAGATGTTAATAACTTGAATAGCAAAAGTAACAGAGAGCAAAACTGATCTTCTTACCCAGGCTCTGAATGCACCTTAGGGCTGCCACTACATTTTAACTCTTTCAGCCATTAGCTCATTATAAAGCTAGAATTTTATTACTACCAGTAAGACGTGTCTGAATCTAAAATGTTTAAATTTTATTTTAGGGTTTAAAAAATATTACAGTAAAAACTGGGTTAGAATAAGATAAGATGACCAGCTGGTAAATGAATGATTTAAATAAGCATATTATGTATAGTTTAAAAACCAAACATATTATGATTTCATTTGCACTGAGAGTTAGTTAAGAACAAACAGCTTCTGCTTCTGTGTTCACCAGCTGTAAACACCCGTGGAAGGTGAACACCGGTGGAAGGTGAATACCGGTGGAAGGTGAACACCGATGAAAGGTGAACACCGGTGGAAGGTGAACACCTGTGGAAGGTGAACACCCGTGGAAGGTGAACACCCATGGATGGTGAACACCCATGGAAGGTGAACACCCATGGAAGGTGAACACCGGTGGAAGGTGAACACTGGTGGAAGGTCCTGGCTATTTGTCCATGTCAGAACTGTCTTGGTTAAGAACTTGAGTATTGTGTGAATATTCATTGTACAGATCTGTATCATTTGTGTGCAGACTGTTACTTACCGCTGAAAGCTCTGACTGTGAAGGAAATATTGTCCTAAAGAAACTGTTTCTGGGATGGCTACAGAGTGGTGTAGACAAGCTATGACCAGTTTAAGCCCTGGTTCTGGTGCGGCACCACAGCTGATGGTTCCCCACTGCATCCCTGAACAAACCACAATAATATACTTATTTTAGGTTAGTTCTGATCATGTTAATTGCAAATGAATAATTGTAGGTGGTGCTCTTTCTTCCATCAACCTTATAAGGATAATTTCAACACAGTGCCTGAATGTGTTCAGTCCTCTAGAAATGAGTACTAGTCAATTGTAAGAAATGCTGTCTGCGTGCAGTAGGGATATTCCAGTTCTGACTATTTAGCACTCAAGTGAAAAGCTAACTGTATGGAGCAGTGGAGGATATTGTTTGTTTGTTTTAGTATCCAGAAGCCATGAGTTGTTAACTCTTAGGCTCGGTATTATGGATATCGCAACCTTTCGGCCTTGATTCCATTGTATATACCGTAAATCTGGGAGAAGTGTGGCTTTTCTGCCTACCCCCGGGAGTGAACCCAGACCACAAGGAGTTCGTCACCTGGTCTCCACACAATCTGGTTTAGCCAACTACGCTAGAGAGCCGGGCTCAGTGGAGGACATACATTGCACCACAGCCTTCATAGAGGCCTGTGGCCTTTTCATCTGAAAACCACTCAAAGGGAGAATGAAAAGAGAAGAATTATGTGAGAAACTGGTGAGGAGTAAAGGTGGAAAAAGGGAAGTGGCCACATCACATCTGCTTGCCTTGCGGTCACTGACAGAGAAAAGTAAAAGGGAAGAATTATATGAGAAATTGATGGGAAAGAAAGGTGGGAAAAGGGAAGCCTCTACACCCCATCTCTATACCCTGGCCTAGAATTCATGAGTATCAAAAAAAAAAAAAGACATTATCTGCTACGAGGCAGTCTTTACATAATTGTAAAATATATTGTATCGTATACATAATACATATCACATTTAAGCAATAGAGGGGCAAGGATACGAAGTCCAACCATTGCTGGAGTCCATCAGTTATCTGGCACATAAAGGACTTTCAGTGGTTAGAGTACCAGACTTTCATGTGGGAGTCTCAGGTTTGATGCTTGATAAGAGATCAATATTTTTTGTTTCTGCAGTTGGCTAGAATCACACGTTATGATCTGTACAGTTCATGGTCACTGCACTAGCCATAGGCCTTAAATCCTCCGGCTAAAGACCCCACCCTATCCTAATTCACCCTAAAAGTTTTAAATAGGGACAAGAAAAACAGTGGTCTGCCAATTACTGTCTTTATTATATCACATTTGGGGTGTAGGCAGGGAAGACTTTTGAGCCTGAGAATTTATGGCTAGTGGTGTCGCCATGACTGTGCAGGTGAGAATTTCTTTTTTGCCCCCCCCCCCCCCCCCCCCCCCCCCCCCCCCCCCCCCCCCAGGAAAAATCTGCAGCCTTACTGAGGATTCGAACCTGGGTCTACTGCTTGAGAGCACAGCGTTGTAACCGTTTAGTCAGCCGCTCTTCAAAAGACAGTGGTCTAATGTTTTAAATTACCATGAATAATACAAATTAATTTTTTTTAATTACTCTTATCTTTTTTCCCCAAAACAAACAAAACTGCAAGAGACACTTTGTTTATTGTGAAACATAATCAAGGGTGTCATCTTGAGGTCACGCTATTTTCCTTATGTTTTGAAGGTTGTGGGTTGATTTTAAGATTGCTTTGTTCGGCTCCCTGGTGTCATTTTTCCAATGTGGGTTGTCTGAATTTATTCTAAGCGAATACATTTATATTATCGTTATTTTCACTTAGTGTTTGAATTAACTGATCACTTGTTATATTTCATTGTTTCACATGTTCCTCGTGTACTAACAGTAATCAAAACAAGTGTACAGCATTCAATAATGTAAAATAACTTACCATTTATTGCCATCAATAAAAGTTGAAAGAAAAGGGTGAAAGATCCTTTTCACTTTCTTTGGCCTGTTAAAAACATAGTACTATATTTTTATAGACCTACGGCACTCATGGGTAATGTGGTCAGCATCAGGCCACTTTTATTTTCCCAGGACATGTACTGGTATGAATATTAGGCTGTGCTAAGGTGAATTGTTAGATGATTTGATCTGAATTTAAAGCCAAAACCTTTGGAACTGCAGGCAAGTGTCTAAAAACTGCATTTTAAACTTCACAACCCAAACAAATGGTGGGCACCTTCCTTCTCTGACATTTTCTGGCACCGAGTTAGAGATCATTCATGATCCTCGAGTTTAAGATTTGGTCAACCTGATTGTCCCTGTTCACTTAAAAAATATGCCATACTGGAATTGGAACTTAGGCCACTAGGTTGATAAAGAAGTTTTCTAAGTTAAACTATACATGCAAATACATACATAAATACATAAGGGTCTTTGAGGATCAAGAATGATCTCTAAAAGTGTTAATTGTTATTAGAAAAGAAGCATTTAATGGATATACATGTGTCCTATCTTAAAATGATCAGTTTTGTAAGACCTTATGCAACCATGAGGCTTAAAATGATGCTGAGAAGAGAGGGTCAGTGCAGCTGTAACTTTGGACACAATTCAAAAGACCTGGTAGAACATTTAATACTGTCTAGACATCACTAGAGCTACAAATGGCACCCATATCGAAGTGAACCTACCTGTGTGGGTTCTGAGGCCCCATTTTAGAAAAAAGAATAATAGACCTACTGCCTACACATACACACAAAAGCATGTCACAAGAGTCTACTAATTGGTAGCTTCATTCAAAGTCAGAGTGCATCTGCCCTAATGGCAAGAGAAGAACCAACGGGACAAAAATAAGCTAGTAAAATGAATGTACGTGAAAAACACAGGCCCTGGCACAAAGCTACAGTCCGAATAGATAAACAACTTTTTTCTGAATGTTCTTAGATTGCCACATGTGTATATCCATTGGATACTTCTTTTTTGATAACAGTTTACAATCCAAGCAATTGATGATTCTGTAGTAAAAAAATTATCACAACAGTATAACTATCACATATATATATATATATATATATATATATATATATATATATATATATATATATATATATATATATATATATATATATATATATATATATATATATATATATATATGCATCAACAGCCACAGAGCCGACTGGAGCGAATGTAAAAGCCATTAAAATAGTTTATAATGGAGCGATGAGATCCCACTTGGAATTTGGTATAACAGCTTGGTCATCAGCTGCTAAATCTCACATACAGTCGTTAGACAAGAGCGCAAAATCAAGCCCTTAGACGCATCACAGGATCCATGAAAACGGCAACAATCCTGGCGGTGCAGAAAATAAACTGCAACGTAGATTCTGTCCTATAGAAGAGAAACTAAAACTATGATCCAGATAGAGAGGTTTAAAAGTATGCAGTCACACCCAATGAATGAATATATATATATAAAAGAAATCTTTGCCTTGTTTTTTATATTTTATTATAACAAAACTATTATAAAAGCCAGATGCACCTACATGTGATGTGAATATTTAACACAATACTCACACATGATATTACATTTGTACATATTGTGTGTTTGCATTTCCTCGGCTGACATTATATATTCAATCCTCTGATTCTTGTGTACATCCAGCATTGTACTTTTGTACGTTTGCCATTGCTTGATAATGTTGCAATGCAGCAGTTTGTATTATATGTGAATTTTCAAAACATGTATTATAAAATAAATAGGAATACTTATCGACTTTTTTCTTCACATTAGTTTGTTTTATATATTTCAATATTCGTCTTCTTAGCATTCACAGACTGTAACCTCCGGCAAAATGTTCTGGTTGTTGTTCACTTTTAGTCTTTTTTTCATGCTTAAGTATTGCAAGCACACTTATTTTAAAGGTTTGGCTTATTTGTATGCAGACTGTTGGTTCCTCATCTCTCAGGCAGATGCACTAACTTAAAAAAAAAAGCCCATACGTAGTCACCTTCTGTGACATGCTTGTTGGGGTGCAGTGGATCAGCCCCCTCACCCCCAATGGGTCTCTGAAACTTTCACGA